TTGTTTAATTTTTTTTTTGTGGAGGGTGTACACTGAAATTATTGGATGAAGTACCCCTCAGTGCCAAGCGGCCCGGCCCTGGCCGGAGGAGGCCGCGGGCGGCGCTGTGAGGTGGACAGCGCGTCGTGATTGACCCCCTCACTCTTGTTGCCCTCAGACGACGCTGCCCTGGGTGCCGGCCGACACCAAGCTCAGCAAGCTGGACACGCTGCGCCTCGCCACCTCGTACATCGCGCACCTCCGCGACGTGCTGCTGCTGCCGGAGGGCGAGGCGCCGGCCAGCGCGCACACGCACTCCCCCGCCAGCAACCCCCTCAACCTGGTGAGTGCCTTGTGGTGCCGTATATACCTGTCCAGTCCAGCCTGTCTGTTTGTTTCACTTGGGCGCCTAGCATTATAGCAAAGTCACTTTGACTTGGGTCAGCCGCGGAGGGTAAGCCAAAGACGACATGTAGAAGGAATATGGCAGATGTGACTGCTGGGGTCCCGGGCGTAACAAGAACATACAGTGGAAAAGGGCAACCTTGTACAGGAGTTATTTGTAATCGAGTAACTAACGCATCGTAAAGCATCTTGGCCCGTTCACATTGCGCAGCAGATCATCTCACGAATATCATTTGGCGCGCACGCAACTTGCTTCGCATGCGAGCCTTCCTGTTGCCCCCTTGCACCGTACCGCGCAGTGCCTGAACACAGTGTCAGACCTGCGACGCACATGTGTTTACATTGTGATCGCAACTTTCACACACACACACGCACGCACATATGTGCGCCCTTCTTGCGTCGCGTCCACCCGCCCTCCTTGCGCCCCCGGCCGGCCGGGGCGTCGCCGGCGCGCCTCGAATATATCAAATATCGCGCAGAGTGGTGGGGGCAGGAAGCAGGAGGACAGACCCTCATCACCATCGGGACAGACAAGCCCTCGTTTATGTAGGCCGAAGGGTAACTCGGGGGGTGTCGTCTGCCTTCGGAGAGCCGGGAGTCCCCTTCTTGGAGTCGGAGCGGGCTCTCTGGGAAAAGAGGCCTCCATTCACCCCCCCCCCTTTCTCCCTCCCCAAAATGCATTGAAGTCATCACTACTTTTCTGTCCTTGCAGACGTGGCCCTTCACCTTCCCGCAGCCCGGTGGACCCGGCGTGCCCCTGGTCGGCCCCGAGCCCTGGATCTCGCGGGGTGCCGCGGCCGCGTCCTCGCGCTGCGGACAGTCCTCCCGCGGCCCCACCACGCCGTCCGGCGCCGACAAGCACCCCGCCGCCCGCGGCGACGGGTCCGGGGGCTCCTCCAACGCCTCCTCCTCCTCGTCTGGCGCCGACGACGACCCGGGCCTCCGGGACGACGAGGAGCACGAGGAGAGCGAGGAGCAGGCGCAGTGCCGGCGCGGGCTCAGCGGCGGCCGGCTCGTGGACCTACAGCAGCTGCAGCAGCAGCTGCCCCAGCTGCCACAGCTGCCGCAGCACTGCCACAGCTACCAGCCGCAAGCAGACTACCACCCTTACCTGCAGCGCTACGTGGACAGCAGCATGCCGCTCTAGCTGCGCTCTAGAGGGCCATTTCAGCACGATCTCGCCGCCCGGCCCGGCGTTTTGTCTCGATCTCTATGACTCCGTGTTTACCAAAGACTAGACAAAGTGACAATAATTTAAAGAAGCTCTCTTTACAACGCTACTGTGTTGCATTTCAATAATTAGCTCGAGCATTTACCTCGTGATTGACCTAATTGTGTTGGTGCATGTTTTCAGGTTGATTGTACTTTGTTGTATGTTTAAGTGTGTAAATGTGTATCATATTCCTAATTATAAATGTGCATTGATCGTTTATACGGCCACTCTTTTCGCTCTCTTTACTCCATTCTTCTTCACGGCTACAATAATGAGTTGCACGTACGGTGTTTGTTTGTTATTGATGTGCACTGCACAAGAGGAGGCAGTAGGAGGATTGCTTCGTAAACAACCGTATTTTAAAGAGCCGCCAACCAAGTTAAAATATATATCGCTAGTTTTGATTTTATACAAGCTTGAGGGCCATAAAAGTACCGGGCTTTCACCAAGAGCTGCACTCCGCGAAAAAGTTAATGGTTTCGTTCATCAGGGACTATCAAATGACCATTTTGGTTTGTCGCCCGGAGCGGAGATTTAGTTTCTTTGACTAATTTTTAAATATAGCCCTTGGGCTTATTGATAACGGGTTGTTGAATGAAAACACGCATCTCCTTCACACATTACTACTTTATTAAGGCACAAAGACACTATCAGTTCGTAATCATATTACTACATTATAATTATTTGGTTAATTAATCATCGATGCGCCCTGGCCTCCATGTGACTAATAGGAGTCAGGGACCCTCTCAAAGAGGGCGATGAAGGGGCCATGTCCGCTGGGCCAGTCTTATGCAGATAACGGGAGAAACAATACAATAATAACAACAAATCAAATAACGATTATAGGGTATCAATAATAACAGTCAGTACGGCACGCTTCAGACGGGGACACCCATGGTCCAGACCACCCCAGGTCACTCCTCATTGGCCGCCGGGCCCCTGCGCCTGACCGATGCGCCCTTCCTACCCCAGCGCGGGGCCTCGGCGGCCACCTCCACAGACACCTCGGGTGGGTTGGTCTGCTTCCCGCGCCTTCGCTTGTTACGTTGGCTGAGGAACGAGTAGACGTCATCGCGCTCCAGGTCCTCGACGCCGTCCACGTGGTGCTCGCCGCTCTGCTCCTCGGCGTTGTCCTGGCCCACCTCCGCCTCGGCGGCCACCTCCGCGGGGAACCACGACAGGTGCTGTTTGTGGGCGACGGGAGCGGGGCTCGGCGAGACAGGTGCGTATACTGTCTCGACGGGCTCCTCGATCGAGGCCAGGCTCACCTTCTTGAGCTGTTTGCGCGGCTTCTTCGCGTAGTTTCGCTGCTGCGAGTGCCGCTGGGGCGCCGCGGTGCTGATCGGGCCGAACACCATCTCCGGCTCCAGCTCGGGCGATGACGACGAGCTCCCCGCGGTCGCGCTGGACCCTCGCCGACGGAACTCACTTTTGCGATCACGGCCCCTGCCTCGGACAGGCTTGACCTCCGTAACGAAGTGAGCCGTGTCCTCGAAGGGCGCAGCAGCGGATGGGGGTGGACTCGCGGTGGGAGTAGGGGGCGGGCTGTGCGTGGGTGTGGGCGCTTGGCTGACGGCGCTCGGACGCCGGCCGCGAGCTCTGAACGCCCTGGACGGGTCCGACTCAGGGTTGTCAACGACGGGGTTGTCGACCAGCTTACTGTGCCTCTGGGCTTGTGCAGAGTGGAAGGTAGCCCGGTCCTTGCTGGACCGTGCCTGCGGTGTCGTTGGTGGGCGACGAGGAGCAAAGCTGAGGGCCGCCTCGGGCTGCTGCGGCTGCTGAGAACGGGAACGTCCCCTGCTTCGTGGCCGCGGTGTTCCCGGCGTCGACGAAGACATGCTGTCAGCCTCGGCCGCGTGCACGTCAAGCCACCTGCCGCCGCGGGCCGCCTGCTGTGTCCTGCTGCGGCGCGAGCCCCCCGCCGCGGCCGAGGACCTGTCTCCCCAGGTCGCGTCGGGGCCGGTCGGGCTCCCCGTGGTGCCGTGGCCGCGCTGGGCGCCGATAGAGGCCTCCGGACGAGGCTCGGGCTCGTTGCGCGAGGATGTCAGAGTATCCTGGGCGGACGGGGAGCCTCCGTTCGTGCTCCTCACCGGCACGCTCCCCCTGCTGACACCGCTCACACTGCTGACGCGAGCCTCCGCTCCCCCGTTGCCCTCCGTGCTGCTGTCGTTGTCATTCGCGCCAAACTGCAGGTGCGCCCGGACCCGGCCTCGTGAGCCCATGATGGCGTCCAGCTCGGTGGTGGTCATCATGTCCCAAGTGGTGGAGTCGGTGCTGAAGGTGGTGGCGCTCTCCGTGGGCGTGCCGGTGGGGGAGGCCGTGGGTGCGCTCGTCTCGGCCTCGGTCGTGGAGACGATGGCCACGGGCGGCATATCCATGCCCTCCCCTCCCGTCGTGCTGTCCTCTACTGTGGCCACGCGCAGCGTTGTGAGGTCCAGGGCGGCGATGGTCGTCACCACGGGGACGTTCTCCGGCACGGCGTCAGGCATGCTGTCATGGGGAGCCGTGGGGGCGGGGCCGCGCGCCATCCGCTCCTGGAGCACAGGGGGTAGGGCAGAGACCTGCTTAGGGGTGGGGGCCAGAGATGAATTTTCGTTGTCGTCGTGGGTGATGTTGAAATGCACCGCCGTGTCGCCGGTGTTGAAGTGCATGTACCCCACGATACTGTTATGGCTCGAGTCCGGCAGGGAGGGGGAGGTGGAGGCGGCGGGCGAGGCAGTGGGTGAGGCCGCGGTTGAGACGGTGGGGGTGAGGGACGGAGCGGGGCTGGACACCGTGGTCTTGGCCGGGCCGACGGTCTCCTGGGCCTTGGACTCACGCCCCTTGCCGGCTCGGGCTCGGTACTCCGGGCTGTACACGCTGGGATAGATGTGGTAGATGCTGTAGCTGCTGCTGAGGCTGGTGGACGTGGGGCGCGGCGCCGCCGGCCTGGAGGTGTTGCGGTGCGGGGCGCTCGGGTACGTGAACGTGTTGGTGTAGTTGACCAGCGTGCGGCCCTGGCGATCGCCGTCGCTCACGAACGGAGGGTGAGCAGCCGTCGCAACTGGTTCCGTGCCTGTAAACCATAATATTTATGATTAAAACTCAATCGCCGGTGACAAGGGGGCAGCGCGAACGATGCGAAAAGCGTGCACTCACCTTTCTTCTTGTCCAGAGTGATGCTGGTTCCGTCCGCACCCGTTTGCACGAGGTACGTCCACATGCGGTCCTGGTCGATGGCCGGCGCTGTGGGGCCGTCCGTCGCGAACCGGTGCTTGGGCGTGGCCGTGAAGGTCGCGGCCGGCGCGCCCTGCCCGCTCGTGTACCCGGTGCGGTACGTGCCGTTGTGGAAGTTCGAGTACCAGCGCTGCGAGGGGTCGTGCAGGGGCGCGTACCAGCGCGGAGCGGCGAGCGGCGGACGTACATTGAACGCCGACCTAGCCACGGACGCGGGGGTCGTAGAGAGGAGAGTGGGCGCGAAGGGGGCTGGGGAGGAGCGCCCGACTGCGAGCACGGTGTCTGCCGACTTGCTCTCCCCGGCGTCCAGCTCGTCCTTGGGGAAGGCGTTGTAGTCGCCGCGGTAGCTGCCCGAGTAGAACGGCGAGTACCACCGGTTGAGCCCGCTGGCCGTACGACCGGCCACGTTGCTGAGTATCTGCGCGGGCAAACGGTGGCCGCCAGCCGTGCCGCGGTAGCTGCCCGAGTAAGCTGCCGAGTACCACTTGCCGGCCTGCTCCTGAGCCTCGTGCTGGCCTTGAACGGGCAGCGGTGCGACCGTTTGCGTCGACGTGGCCGTGGCCGCGGCCTTGTGCACCTCCAGGGGGTAGCTCCACCCGCTGGAGCCGAAGTTGCTCCTGAAGTAGCTGACACCTGCGTTCGGTGCCCCGCTATGCGCGGTGGAGTGCGTGAGGACGCGGGCGGACCTCTGCGTAGTAGATGTCGGGAAAGACGTGGACGGCGTCGGGGGTGTTGAGGATGATGTGGGCGTGGCGGTAGTCGTGGTAGATACGTCCTGGGCCTCGCGGTCCGTGACGTCGTCCTCTTGGTCGCTCTCCTCTTCTGAAGTTCTATCCGCGACCTCATCCTGCTCGCTGCTGAGAACCACGACGTTCCTGGTCGGCACCCTGGCTGCTGTGGAGGGCGGCGAGGCGGTGGTCGTGGAAGATGGTGACCCAGTGTAGTGGTTGACGCGCACCCTGCTGACTGCCTGCCCTGGCTGCCCGGCCCGCTGATGGACCAAGGTGCGCGGGGTGGGTCGCGGGGTGGGCCGCTGGACTGGGCGAGGAGCGGGGGTGCGGGGTTGAGCCGCCTGGGGGTGCGCTTGCTGGCCGCTCCCGGTGGGCGCTGACACGTCCGTGGACCGCTGCCCCGCGACCACGCCCCGCACCCAGGATGTGAAGCTGGAAAGCTTGGTGTAAACGCCTGGGCTGTGGTGGCGCCCGCACCCGATCCCGTAGCTCACGATGCCCATTTGGAACCAGCGTCCTCCAGAGTTGCACATCAAAGGGCCTCCTCCGTCACCCTGTATTAATAAATTTAAGTTGTTTAATTTTTAGAAAATAAAATGGGTTTCCGTTTCTGAATTGCCTCTCCCAAGAAAGTATTGATTGCTTACATCACATGCGTCCCTGCCCTTGGCTCCAGCGCAGAGGGCGGTCGTAGGCAACAGGAAGGACGGCCCCAGGTGGGTTCGCAGAGCCTCTTGGCAGGGACCACGGGACCACAGCGGGACTGGGACCTCCTTCAGGACCTCGGAGTGCGGGGACACTGTTGCACATAAGAAAGCGAAGAGTGTTTGTAAACTTTGTGTCAATGTTACAAGCGTTGTGACATTTTAACTCACTCTCATCCTTTCTGCCCCAGCCCGTGACAAAGCAGACGCTCCCCTCTTGCGGAAAGTCGTCATCGGCCTCGGCGTCGTCCTTCAGGCGGTTGTCGTGCTGGCGGGCTGAGCGCGGCCGCGGGGGCGGCAGGCACACGGCGCCCACGTTGCGGTGGTCGCGGGGAGGCCGCGCGATCCTCACGAGGGCGATGTCGTTCTGCAGTGAGGCATGGTCGAAGGTCGGGTGTGCCACCAGCTCCACCACGGCGCGCTCCTGCGTGAAGGACTCCGAGTCGGAGCGCACGTCATACTCGCCCACGCGGACCTTGAGCGCTGAGGGGTCGGGGCTGCAAGACGGCCAGAGGCGAAGGTCAGAGATCTGCTCAGCAAGGCGTTCTACGGTCCTCGGGTTGAGGGGAAAATTATGGCTTTCGTATAGCTGCTAATATTGATAATCGGGTTTCTGGACAGACAATGACCGTATGCTAAAAACTCAATGAGCTATTGTAACAAAACATTTGCTGTAGAATAGAGGGCTAATTTTTTCAGTATACCCTACTAAGTTGTCTATCTAAATGCGAGCGAATTCATTAGCTGCTGTAAAAACGAATCACTTTTATTCGTGCTCCCTTGCTTGCACTCACTAGTCCAAGACGCAGTGCGCAGCGGTGAGCAGCCAGGTCGGTCCGATCAGGGTGGCACCGCAGACGTAGCGGTCCGAGGCGGTCTCCAGAAGCGCGGCCTGCGAAACCGAGATTAAAGAGTACAAGTGTCAGGGCTAGGGCTGTTCTCATAGGGGTAGGGTCCAGGGTCCAGTACACCACGGTGTGGGTCGGACACCCCGCTGCCCGCTGTCCCAGCCACTCGTCAGATGCTTACGTGCCACGGCCACTCGGAAGGCTCCGCCGTGCCGTCCAGACCAGAGTCAGGGCCTTTACGGCCGCATTCCTGCCAGGACGACCAGGGCTCGGCAATGTTCGCGCTGCTCCCGGACACTCCCTGGGGGACGGGCTTGGAGTGCTGCGGTGGCCGGGCCTGGCCGGGTCTCGCCAGGTTGTTCCAGTCGATCTTCTTCGGCTCCCTTTTCGGCTGCATCTGGAACTGGTGCTGCTGCGGGTGCGCAAGGCGGCCGCCGCCCTCCTCCTCACTCCAGCTCGTGTGCGGGGCGCCGTCCTCCCATTCGATTTCCTGCAGAAGATCAGAAAGTGATAGTTTTAGCTGCGGAAGTGGAAGAGGGATGGCGTCGTCGGCATCTCGCTGCCCTCACCTTCGAGCCGCGCGCAGCAGGCAAAGGGGTCACGAACACGGGGATCGACCTCGCCGGCGGCCTGGAGGAGCTCGGCTTGGGCCTCGGCAGCGGCCGTGACGACGTGGTCAGCGTCCTGGGCGTAGTGCCCAGCAGCTCCTCCTCTTCGTCGTCATCATCGTCGTCATCGTCGTCGTCGTCGTCCTCCCCCTCCTCCTCGTCGAAGGCCGTGGTGGGGGGCGCGGCCGTGGACCCCACGCGGGGCGAGGCCTCGCCGCGGGGCGCGCCCAGTAGCGGCGCGGCAATGGTGGCGACGCCGAGCTGGCGCCCCATCGAGTAGCGGAAGTGAGTGTCGGCGTCGGGATCCAGGTCCTCGTCCTCGCCGCGGGCGCGCCCCTCGACCTCGTTGCTGGCGGCCGTCGGGCCGGGGGTCGAGGGGCCCGTCGGGGATGAGGCCATCGTCGGGGCGGCCGTCGGGCCCGAGAGTCCAGACGGCTGGGGAGACCGGCGGACGCAACAGATGACGCGCTGCCCTTCCCGGTCGCACTCGCTGTAGGGCACGCCCGTCCTGGGGGAGAGGAGGGGAGCATCACGGTTAATTGGCGGGGCCCGCGCCGGCGGCGACCTGGTCGACCTGGTCCGGCGGCGCGCCAGGGCGCGACCCGACCGCAAGCGCGGCGACCGCAAGCGGAGAGAGGCAGCCTCTCATTACCGGGGATGAAGAAAACCAAAGTGTCAACTGCTGGCTAAACTGTGAAATACGAGGAAATACAATTACCTCGCGATGCACGTCCACAGGCCGGTGCAGAAGCACTCCTGCTCGCGGCGCTCGGCCCCGGCCGCGGCCACGAGCAGCATCATCAGCAGCAGCGACAGGGTGGCGGCCGCGGCCAGGTCCACTAAGGCCTCGGCCCTGCCCCCCGACGCTCGCCGCATGGGGCGCATGGCTCGCTGGAAAGAGCAAGAAATGAGAAAGGGTGACAATTATTTGGCAAGAAGACGCGGCGGCGGCGACGGCGACTTGGGCGGCCGCGCGCTGCGCCGACCCGAGAAGAAGACCCGAGGAAATAATGTCCACCTCTGCAGAGGAGACGAGTGTGGTTGCGAAAGGATGCACGTGGCTCCTCCCACGCCCCGCCCTGCCCC